AAATAACATTGTTTCATTTTCCTGGGAATGACTTCTAAAGTAATATCACGGCAAGGATGAATGCATAGGGATGAGAAGGAAAGGAATTGGGAAAAAGCTGGCAACCAACAACTACTAATTGTGAGACTTTTAGAAAATTTAAATGGAACCCCAAGTTTAATAATGTTTTCTAAATATAACTTCTCTATATAAATAATCATGTAGCAGCTAACCAAAAAAAGACATTAATTTTTTAGCAAGTCTAGCCGCGCAAATGCGCGGGTTATATTGCTAGTTGTTTAAATAGCGATGGGACACGAGGAGCCAACCGGCGTTCTGTTTAATGCCAGCCGGCTGACGAACGAACATGTGGCTGCAGTAATTATCCTGGCACACGCGCGGGTTTAATGGTGGAAGGCGGGCAGTCTGGAGGAATGAGGCAGGATGTGTGTTTAGCCGGCGTGCAGCGGGGCGGTACCCTTGGCGTGCGTGGGGCGGTACTGGAGGCATGAATGTGGGCAGCCGGCGCAGAGCGGGAACACGTGTGTGCGAGAGAGGAGGGGGTTTGGGTGGGCACGAGTGGTCGGAAGCAGTCGTGGGTGTTGTCCGGACGCGTGCAAAGCCCCCCTCCCCCATGTGTTGTCTCCGGTTTGCGGGAGAAAGTACGTCTGGACTGCCCTGTGGACCGATACAAGCCCGCATTAGATGGCACAACATGTCCGAACCATGTGGTCCGGATGGTTGTGGACGGTTTAATTGAGGGTCGGCGTTGGAGATGCCTTAGAGTTTATGAATCCATTGTGTTTTCCTAATCATAAAAAATCACTTATAATAAGTTATATGGAAAGACACGTATATAAGTTAGGTTCAGACTCCAGCTTTCCTCTTATATATGTTTTCTTTTCTGATCCGACTGATTCCAATAGAGTGAGCCTAGCGTTGTTTTTCTGGAAACTCGATACACGTTCTTTCAAGCAAATCACATCCATTCTTTTTAACTAATTTTTTTCTTGTTTTAATAATATAATAAATCATTTGTATTTCTTATCTCGAACAGTTGACCTGTAATTCCTATTGTAATCTAAGGATAATGTTTGGATTTTACTTTCAAATATTTGAAATGGCCATGATGGAATCACATCCATTTATTTTATTATTATTTGAATTTGATCCAAAAGATAAATAATGAGTAGACGTCCTGAAAACTTTTCTGAGAACTTTGGTAATCAAAAGACAAAAAAGGTTTTAAGAACTGAAGCAAACCACGAATTTTACTCTCTATTTTACTAAAGCAAGTGGCTGCTATTTAGGTCTAGTGAATACCAAATTGACCAACAACCTTTTTTCCAAATTGGAAGGAATGCAGTTCTCAGCTCTCACCGTGGTGATTATACAATCTGGATTTTCGAGCTGTAGCTAGTCAACTTATGTTAGTGGCATATGTAACATAGTGTTGGTCACTGGGAATGGATGAAGCCATGAGTGAAGGAACAGGAAATGACAGAAGTATGATTTGTAGAATTTCAAAACTCAAAATATCTAGTTTTATGGAGTGATATGAAATAAGCAAACCAACTGCTTATAAAAATGTAAAATTAAACGACATATTTAGAAATGTGATTGTGAAGTCATTGTCACAAAATATGACCCCACTAAAAATGAACATTCAACCTTATTTTCAGAAGTTTGCATACAAATCCCATGTAAATTATGGTAGTGCTCACAAACAAATAAACTAAAATCGTGCTTGATCCACCATGAAACTTACTACCTTGTCTATATTCTTGAAGAGCTCAAAAAATGCTGAAGCAATGCCACCTAGCTAGATATATACTTTTGTCATGTCCAGAGATTTCCTGCACCATGAACAAGAATGCCACCGCAATAATAGTCGCTCTTTTGCGACAAAAAAAATACTGACTTTGGACAGCAATGCCTGCACAACTACTATCTGTACGCCATGCATGCACCCATGTATGTCAGTAATACATATTATAAGCTTGTGAACATTGGTTTCAAAGTAGTGATACCAACAATACATCATCCAGTGATGGCCAGTCGCAGTACCTAGATGCCACTTCGGTGCCTGGTTTCAAAGTCGCAAGTTCATGGCAGGGAAAGCAATCATGTGTCTAGAGTAGAGACTTAAATAAAGACCCATGCCATGTAGATGGATCAGATAATTATGCCAATCCTGATTTTTCAGTGCAAATCCAGTTCTAAAATTTCCACTTGTTTAGTTGCTCCCAAAAAGGGCTATACAGTTAACCAAAATGAATTTTGCTCCTAACACCACAGTTTGTTTCCAACGATCAAGAGAGCGAGCTTCACCATAGTGAAGTGTGTTTGATTAAGTACCTGAGCCGGTGTTGTACATGCATATATGATATGTTCACCGCTCCTACCGGATGCCCGCCGCCGAACTCACCATCCGTTCTACACAAGCAGCAAAACCGATCAGATAAGCTATTTCGGTTGTTACTTGTATAGTCTGATGGAACGATCAGTTCCAGAATTACGCCATGGCGCCATCTTTTATATGCAATATACTGTGAACTGAATTTTCTGTCAGTGAAGTTGACAGAACAGAGTACTACAGGGTAGAGGGGTAGAGCATGCAAGTGGTGATTGTTGTGTGGTTTTTACGTTAGTTATTTGTGCACCGGGCGTCTAGGTAGCGTTGGCTGGCCATCTGCAGCTCATAGGCGCACGAGCACAGCGGTGGCACGCCCAGCACCGCCTCCACTGCCCGCAAGGACGCCACCTAGCCGCCGCCGTATCTGGAGAAGAAGCAACAAGCATGTAAGAGTTTGTCCGTGGACGCTCTATGGATCGACCTGATCGATCACTCGTTTTGTGCATGCACCACCACACATGGCTGAACCGAGCATCCTCCTGGCGGCGCCCAGTGAGACCGTCCTCGCAGCGGCCACGGCTCGATGGTTCGCCCCCGTGTGCACGGTACGTGCCGCAGCCTGCAGTCAAAACAGAGCGCGTAGAAGGTGAAGGCAAGGGGAGCTGGTGTGCTGGGAGGGAGACTCCTGGAGCTAGGGAGCACGCCGACGCCATTGCTCAAGGTGCAAGTTTGTTTCAATCTTCAATCCTGCTCGCTGTTGATTCTGGTTACAGTAAATTTTAGCTAGATATGGTGTAACCTAAGTGTTATGCCTAGTCTTAATCTATCTATCTATCCAATCTTCTATTCGGCGAGGTGGCTGCGCCTGTGGCAGATGTGGCCGCTGCCATGGCCGGCGCCAGACCTGGTCGATCTCCCTCTTCTGTATTTGAGAAAAAAAATCTCCCTCTTCTCTTCTGATGAGAAGGGGAAGAGGTGGTGAGAGATGAAGTCGACGGCTTTGGGGAGAGGATACGGGAGGACGCCGGTAGTGAGGCGGCATGAGGAAGACAAGGTGGTTGGCAGCGGCGACGCGTGAGGGGAGGGCAAGGGAGGTGTAGTGGTGCATGTTGAGGAGTGGGTGTGCAGCGTGCCCAGTTCTCGAGGGAGGAAGGAGGTCGTCAAGGGAGTGATCCATGGGAGTTTCTTTTCCTTCTGAGCGAGCCTAGTTGGGCTCTCTGCAGCGTCTAGGCCCAATGCACCACATGTCTTCAAATTGGCCACCAGTAGCAGCCCATAGAACAGACAGGGCCAGTTTACAAATTTTAAAACATAAGTTTTTTAGCGCCCATGAAAAACAGAACACATATCTTTCCAAACATAATGAACTGTAGGTACCACCAAAAAAACCATAATGAACTATAGGTTGTTACAAGAACTCATGCCATCCCACAGCCGCCCTCCCACCCTGCCAACATTGTTGCAACTGCACTCGCAAGCGTTACCATAGATGATCATTTGCATGATTTCGCGTAAAACAAAATAAGATCTACAAACGAATAGAAGCTACACATACCTTGGCATGCACACACATTGGAAGCCATACCAAGGTGATAAGTGTTAATAACTTGTACGACATATACAACAGTTAAGATAAGTGAAAGCAATTTGATGAGTCATGGTCTATCAAAGCAAGCTTTATTACTACTCTAATCTATCTTAACAGGTCACACATGATTACAATCCTTTTTGTGTGCAAGTCAAGCTTATCTAGTTTACACGTAACAACTTGTAGAACATTACACAATTGATGTTTGCTAATAACTTCTAGAAAGCTAAAACACTTGACATGTAAAAAGAATTTGATGAGTCATGACCTAGTAAATCAAGTTACATTACTAGTCTCATCTATCTTAACAGGTCACACAAGATTACAAACTAAGTTCTGCGCAAGCAATGCTTATCTAGTTTACACATAACAACTTGCAAAACATTACAAATTTAGTTTCAAAAAATTAGGCAATCTAGATTAGTGTTTGAGTTGTAAATTGAATAAGATGAGTCATGTGTGTTATCACAACTTTTTGGTGGTGGAATGATAGTGCCACCAAACGCAACATACCAAATTATGATTTTAGGAAGCATCCAAGCACTTTCCAGACAAGCAAATGCCAATTGTGAAGGAGATGATGCCATGGCAGCTATAAATAGGCCTGTAGCATGATGATCATCCTTCCTCATCCATCATTCTCATAAGTAGAGTGCATCATTCAAGCCAAGCAAGGAGTGGTCAATACAAATCCACCATGAAGACCTTTCTCATCCTTGCCCTCCTTGCTATCGTGGCGACCACCACCACAACTGCAGTTAGAGTTCCAGTGCCACAATTGCAGCCACAAAATCCATCTCAGCAACAACCACAAGAGCAAGTTCCATTGGTGCAACAACAACAATTTCTAGGGCAGCAACAACAACAATTTCCAGGGCAACAACAACCATTTCCACCACAACAGCCATATCCGCAGCCGCAACCATTTCTGCCACAACTACCATATCCGCAGCCGCAACCATTTCCACCACAACAATCATATCCACAACCACAACCACAATATCCGCAACCACAACAACCAATTTCGCAGCAACAAGCACAACTACTACAACAACAACAACAACAACAACAACAACAACAACAACAACAACAAATCCTTCAACAAATTCTGCAAGAACAACTGATTCCATGCAGGGATGTCGTCTTGCAACAACCCAATATAGCACATGCAAGCTCACAAGTATCGCAACAAAGTTACCAACTGTTGCAACAATTATGTTGTCAGCAACTGTGGCAGACCCCCGAGCAGTCACGGTGCCAAGCCATCCACAATGTCATTCATGCTATTATTTTGCATCATCGTCATCAACAACAACAACAACAACAACAACAACAACAACAACAACCGTCGAGCCAGGTCTCCTACCAGCAGCCTCAGCAACAATATCCATCAGGCCAGGGCTTCTTCCAGCCATCTCAGCAAAACCCACAGGCCCAGGGCTTTGTCCAACCTCAGCAACTGCCGCAGTTCGAGGAAATAAGGAACCTAGCGCTGCAGACGCTACCAGCAATGTGCAATGTCTACATCCCTCCATATTGCTCGACCACCATTGCGCCATTTGGCATCATGAGTACTAACTGAGAAGAGAAGAACTCTATTACTAGATATATGAAACACCGTTTTCTTAAAACATGGTTTGGTCGTTGTAGCGGTGAAAAATAAAGTGACATGCACTATCATGTAAGAACCCGAACTAGACTATTTCAAACTTGGAAATAAAAGACAAACACAGGTCTTGTCTGCATATGATTGTTTGTTTGAGTTCCATTCATGTGCCCGTTCACAAGTTCACCCCTAATTATATATATTAAGCATTAGTTAGATGTTTATGTGCATTAATCTAAAGATAACAAAATGAATCTGAAACTTGAATTTAATTAAAGTATTTTCTTGGACTTTCAAATTGAGCATTGATAGTGAGGACTATCCACATCCTTGGCTTGCCCTTGATCAATTATTTCCAAAGAAGCATTCAATTCATCAGTCACTTACATTGATTTTTGTGGCTTGTACTTCTCCTCAACATGAGTATCTTCATTGCAGCTACTCCAAATCTGCCACATAACTGAAGCATTAATAGTGCTCTTCCTTGCATCAAGGAAATATGGATCGAAGATATCTCTTGACCATGTTTTCGGGTGCAACCTTGGGAGTTTTATGTCAAAATATTCTCAAGAAGAATCCAAGAATAAACTTGCATGCTCACGTGTGAAAAGGGCATATGAAGTAACATTTCCTCACCAAGGCCACACATAGGGCACACACATAACCCCATCACATGCCTTTTTAGTTATGCATATGAAGGTAGGATGTTTTTAATTACTCTGCACCAAAATACTCTTAACTTGGATTGTACCCTAAGCTTTCGTTGCCTTTTACATTTTTCTTCCCCATTAGATGAACTAGATAGTCCAGCTACCACACGATACCTTGTGTTCATCTCGGCTCTGTACAACAATTGAACAGAAGAAATGTCATTTCTTTACCATACCCATGACCAAATGTTCTCTGCTACTCCCTCCGTCCCAAAATACTGCCATCCATGTCGACAACAATGAGTCATATAGGACCGCTATGCCTCTGTTGAAGGAGGTGGTGGAGCGATCCGGAGATTATTCTGCCATCCATGTTGAGTAAAACCTCACTGGCCACTTGCTCCAACCGCATACACACCGCCATAAACAACGGTTGGTACTCAGTTCGGTGTAGCATACACCATGTAGGAAGCGAGTGCTTACTCCTAGTTACTGAATTATGTACACCAAATAAACCCATTTACACGAAGTTAATGACAAAAAAGTTGATGCTTGCTACGCAGATGTGTAGTACAAATTAAGAAGTGCAAGATAAAAAGATGCTGGTCCTTGATTCGTTGTTGATCCTGAGCATGCCATCATCAACTTGTAGTTAATTATCATACAAATTGGCTCTTTCATAGAGTTGGAGGCTAGCTCCTTGGATCAGCACGCGCTTAAACACAAAGAACACGTATATGTATTCTCTCCGAAGTTCAACTCTTGATTGGCCAGCAAAAATGGTCCGACCGGGTAGAGGAAAGGCATGTTTGCTAGTACGCCTGGAGGAAATGCCTTTGATTAGGGCATCTCCAACGGCGACCAGTAAATTTTCTCCCATATTTGTCCACGGACAAGGGATCAGTCCGTGGATATGGATATAGAAATCGGCCATCCAACGTTGTCCGCATATATTTCGAACACTTCTTTTAAAAAATCGAATGAAATTCATGCAAACACAGTGGATTCCATACAAACCGGACAAAAACGTTTACATTTTGGACATATTTTTAACTAAAAACTCTACAGCCGGCACCGGCGACGACGAATATCCTCCGGCGACATGGATACCCTTGACTAGTCTACTGCCGGCTGCAGCGGATCTCCAATGTCATCCCCATGTCCGGCAGCTGTGAGCCCTAGGTATATGCTTCAACGCAAAGAGCAGCTCGCCTCCCTACCACTCATCGGAGTGGAACAACCAACTGATGCTTCTGCCAATGGGAAAGGGTTCCTACGCTACATAGGTCAGAGTTGGTTTTGGGTTGGGAACGGTGGTGGCCTGCCAGAGGGCAAGACACCGGCTGTGTACGCTGGTGTCACCTCAATATGGCATTCATGGGACCCAAGCGACAGCTTCTCCTCGACTATTGTGGCGAGCGCAGACGTGTTGGACACCACCTCGTCGATGTCCATGCAGCCCGCTTCTTTCTCTGTAGTCAGGACGCGGTGACACGCGCTTTGACATAGGATGACGCGCTCACAGGCACGGGAGGGGCGGTACAACATGGCACCATCAATGGCAGCCATGATGCCCGTGCCACTGTGGTCCCTCTCAGTGTCGACCTGGAGCAACTCGCCACTCCTCGGCTCGTGACCGGCGGGGTTGACGGGCCACCTAGCTATTGTTTATGCGAGACAACTCTTTTTCCTGCTCATCAGATGCCAATAAGGAAGGAGGCCTGATTGATTTCTAACTGGAACACGCACAACTAACCTGATGCCAACTAATCAGATGCCAATAAGGAAGGAGGCCTCAACTTAGCTATAGGAGGTGAAGGCAAGGGGAGCTGGTGTGCTGGGAGGGAGACTCCTGGAGCTAGGGAGCACGCCGACGCCATTGCTCAAGGTGCAAGTTTGTTTCAATCTTCAATCCTGCTCGCTGTTGATTCTGGTTACAGTAAATTTTAGCTAGATATGGTGTAACCTAAGTGTTATGCCTAGTCTTAATCTATCTATCTATCCAATCTTCTATTCGGCGAGGTGGCTGCGCCTGTGGCAGATGTGGCCGCTGCCATGGCCGGCGCTAGACCTAGTCGATCTCCCTCTTCTGTATTTGAGAAAAAAAAATCTCCCTCTTCTCTTCTGATGAGAAGGGGAAGAGATGGTGAGAGATGAAGTCGACGGCTTTGGGGAGAGGATACGGGAGGACGCCGGTAGTGAGGCGGCATGAGGAAGACAAGGTGGTTGGCAGCGGCAATGCGTGAGGGGAGGGCAAGGGAGGTGTAGTGGTGCATGTTGAGGAGTGGGTGTGCAGCGTGCCCAGTTCTCGAGGGAGTAAAGAGGTCGTCAAGGGAGTGATCCATGGGAGTTTTTTTTCCTTCTGAGCGAGCCTAGTTGGGCTCTCTGCGGCGTCTAGGCCCAATGCACCACATGTCTTCAAATTGGCCACCAGTAGCAGCCCATAGAACAGACAGGGCCAGTTTACAAATTTTAAAACATAAGTTTTTTAGCGCCCATGAAAAACAGAACACATATCTTTCCAAACATAATGAACTATAGGTACCACCAAAAAAACCATAATGAACTTTAGGTTGTTACAAGAACTCATGCCTTCCAACAGCCTCCCTCCAACCCTGCCAACATTGTAGCAGCTGCACTCGCAAGCGTTACCATAGGTGATCATTTGCATGATTTCGCGTAAAACAAAATAAGATCTACAAACGAATAGAAGCTACACATACCTTGGCATGCACACACATTGCAAGCCATACTAAGGTGATAAGTGTTAATAACTTGTACAACATATACAACACTTAAGATAAGTAAAAGCAATTTGATGAGTCATGGTCTATCAAAGCAAGATGCATTACTACTCTAATCTATCTTAACAGGTCACACATGATTACAATCCTTGTTGTGTGCAAGTCAAGCTTATCTAGTTTACACGTAACAACTTGTAGAACATTACACAATTGATGTTTGCTAATAACTTCTAGAAAGCTACAACACTTGACATGTAAAAAGAATTTGATGAGTCATGACCTACTAAAGCAAGTTACATTACTAGTCTCATCTATCTTAACAGGTCACACAAGATTACAAACTAAGTTCTGCGCAAGCAATGCTTATCTAGTTTACACATAACAACTTGCAAAACATTACAAACTTAGTTTCAAAAAATTAGGCAATCTAGATTAGTGTTTGAGTTGTAAAGTGAATAAGATGAGTCATGTGTGTTATCACAACTTTTTGGTAGTGGAATGATAGTGCCACCAAACACAACATACCAAATTATGATTTTAGGAAGCATCCAAGCACTTTCCAGACAAGAAAATGCTAATTGTGAAGGAGATGATGCCATGTCAGCTATAAATAGGCCTGTAGCATGATGATCATCCTTCCCCATCCATCATTCCCATAAGTAGAGTGCATCGTTCAAGCCAAGCAAGCAGTGGTCAATACAAATCCACCATGAAGACCTTTCTCATCCTTGCCCTCCTTGCTATCGTGGCGATTGAGGGAGTCCTGGATAAGGGGTATCTGGACAGCCGGACTATATTCATCGTCCGGACTATAGAAGCGTCAAGACACAAGACTCAAGACTTCGGCTCGTGTCCGGATGGGACTCTCCTTTGCGTGGAAAACAAGCTTGGCGACCCGGATATTATGTTTCCTTCCTTGTAACCGAGTCCATGTAAACCCTAGCTCTCCGGTGTCTATATAAACCGGAGAGCATGGTCCTTACAAGGCCGACCACAATTACAATCATACCATCATAGGCTAGCTCTTAGGGTTTAGCCTCTACAATCTCGTGGTAGATCTACTCTCGTATTCCACATATCTTCAATATCAATCAAGCAGGAAGTAGGGTTTTACCTCCATCGAGAGGGCCCGAACCTGGGTAAACATTGTGTCCCTTGCTTCCTGTTACCATCATCCTAAGACGCACAGATTGGGACCCCCTACCCGAGATCCGCCGGTTTTGACACCGACGTTGGTGCTTCCATTGAGAGTTCCTCTGTGTCATCGCTTCGAGGCTTGATGGCGTCTTCAATCGTCAACAACACGGTCCAGGGTGAGACTTTTCTCCCCGGACAGATCTTTATGTTCGGCGGCTTCGCACTGCGGGCCAATTCATTTGGCCAGTTGGAGCAGATCGACAGCCTCGCCCCTGGCCACCAGATCAGGTTTGGAAACTTGAACTACACGACAGATATCCGCGGATACTTGATCTTCGACGGATTCGGGCCTGCGCCAGGAGTGCCGGATAGCCACGACGAGCACGGCCTAGACCTGCTGTCGGATAGTGCCCGGGACATTATCCCCGAAGCAGCCTTGGATCTA